CAGATGACGGCCATTTAATCCATATGCAATCCAAATACGAGATGTCAAATGTCAATAGATTGCACACGCCATTATTTCAAATGATATTCTTCCTTCTTTTCACTAAACATGGATAAATCACAAGAAAATCATATTTCTAGTTGACTCATGTAATAAAAAAAATGTGTCCAATATTGTGTGATATATATAAATTGTCCAATGATGGAAAAACAAGTGCAAATTGTTCTAAATGTGATCCAGAAGACAGGCGGAAAAGATGATGAAATTTGTAACTTCATAGTGAAATATCTTAATAAATAATGGTTTGTTCACATTTTCATTATCAAATTCGTGTTTTTCAGACAAAAATACGTAAGTACCAAAAAAAATTTTCGAAAAAAAAAACCATCGCATGATAAGTGCAAAATTACCGGAATTAGTTGTTTGATAAATTCTCAGAAAAAAAATCAGGTTTTCTCATTCACCCATGGTGAAAGTAAACTCTTGTATTGACAATTGACATTCCCTTGATGGCAGAATGCCCATCAGCTGGTATGATCCTTCACTAAATATGGAAAAATAGCGATAAAATCAAATTTCTAGTCAACTTTCATATCTAAAATGTGTCATTAGAGTACATTGTGAGATATAAATTGTCCAATGATAGAAAAAGAGCATAGTAGTTCTAAATGAGTATCCAGAACAGGCAGAAGAAGAAGGTGACATTTAAAACATCCTTAAGCAATATATCCACAAATAGTAGTTTGTTCACATTATCATTACCAAATTCGTGCTTTTCAGACAAAAATACATAGGCAACAAAAAATATGTTTGGCCAAAAAACCCCATCACATGATGCAAAACCAATACTTTAAACAAAACACTCCAAATACATTGGTTTTCTAATGAAAACTTTGTATTGCAAGGGTGGAACAACTTTCTCCACAAAACTGTTGATGATTTGTCCCAAATATTATATTCAAAACAAATAAAATTATGTAGAACATATAACCTAAAATGCTTTAAATTTCACATACTGGTAATCTCTGTCAATTAGTGGAAATGTAATTATAATGAATGTTGCATGAATATCCTTGCCTTGAATATCATCAATGAGTTCAAAGATTGAATTCCCATTTTCCATGAGGTCATGCAAATTACATCTAGGTATTGAAAAGGAATATTCTCATATGTATTATGAACATGAAAACAATGGATAGATACACACAGGGCATATTAAAAGATGAAATGAAGCTAAGGAAATCATGTATCAAAAATTTAGTGTTTATAAAACCTACTACTGAGCCTATGGACGAGTGTAATATAGTTCCCTCTCATCAGATCAATAACAATGTCACTATTTTTGACGACGAAACTATTGAGCAGGCCGATGTTGACGTAATGAATGACCCGGATTTTCTACAAATCACGCAATCCACGCTAATAACATAGCTAATTCCTGTTCTAAAAAAATGCCTCCAACCCCCATTACCTTATTGCTATTAAATATCCAATCAATTAGAAATAAGTGCGATGAACTGTACATTTTTTTAGAAAGTCTAAGTTTTCCTGATATTGTGTTGCTAACGGAACATTGGCTTCAACCTGATGAATCATGCCTCGTTAAAAATTACACTGTGGTGGCCACCTACAATAGAAAAATCTTGCCTCATGGTGGGACACAAATACTTATTAACAATAATTCTATAGAAAACTTGAAATTTGTAACAATAGGTGATTTTAATGATTTTTTGGAAGAGAAACAATTTGAATTTACACTGGTCTTTAGCAAAAAAAATAATTTGTATATTCTGTGTATATATAGGGCCCCCTCTAGTGATGTATATGTGTTTTTAACCAGACTGGAGCAGCTCTTGAACAAATTCCCAATTAAATCTTCCATTATACTAACTGGAGATTTGAATATAAATTTTGACGAAGATTCGATTATTGTTAGATTACTAAAAAACTTGCTTTTATCATTTGACCTAACCATGCATGTAGAAAATCCAACTCGCCACTCCCGGCACTCGGCTTCCAAAATTGATTATGTATGTAGCAATTTGCTAGACAAACTCAGCGCTTGCGTAGTCGTCAATGCAGCTTTGTCTGATCATGAAGCTGTATTGAGTACTTTTAATATTTGTAATTTCCTACCTAAACTGACTAAGTATGGCCGAATATACAGCAAATCTAACTTCAATAAGTTCAAGGAAGCATCTACAAATACTGAGTGGAAATCTATTGTAGATACAGAAAAACCATTTGAAAATTTCTATGAATACCTTGTATCCCTTTTTAATGAGTCTTTCCCGATACGAAAAATCAAGACCAAGCGAAAGAAGAAGCCATGGCTGACATCAGGTATAAAAACATCATCCAAAAATCTGAGATGCCTTCATAACCTTAGAAAATATACAAATGCGAATTTCATTCACATATATTTTAGTAACTATCGTAAAATTTATAGAAACTTGATAAAAATTGCAAAAGAAAATTATTACAAAGAAATAATCACCGATTCTGATAACAAATCAAAAGCTAGCTGGAATATTATAAACGACTTAACAGGTAAAAGCGGCAAAAATAAAGCAGAAATGTCTCTAAAGGCTGATGAGCTGAACAATTATTATTGCACTGTCGCTGGGAAATTAACCCAAGACTTAGCAAGTAATAATCTTCCAATGGAATTCTTCAGTAGTAATCCTATTTGTCAATCTATTTTTTTTTACGATACAAATATTACAGAATTGAAGCAAGTCATTAAAGCAATCAAAAATAAAAAAACACATGGGATCGATGAAATCTCAATTAGAATTCTTGAAAACTTGCCGGACGAGGCCCTGGATGTATTGACCACTCTGATAAATGACTCATTTCAGAGAGGTATATTTCCGGAATTCCTTAAAACTTCTCTTGTTATTCCTATTCATAAAGGTGGTGATGTAGACGAGCCAGCAAACTTCCGTCCAATTTCTCTTATACCCTCTCTCGCAAAAATAATAGAGAAAATAGTAAAAATTAGAATAACAAATTTCTTGAAAAAAAAAACATAATCTCTGTAAAGCAGTATGGGTTCCAAGAAAATAAAAATACCAGTGACGCTATTTTCTCTTTTCTCCAAGAAGTATACTTGAAAATCAATAGTGGGGAGGCAGCAGCAGCAGTATTTTGCGACTTTTCTAAAGCCTTTGACTGCGTGGATCACCAAATACTGCTGGCAAAGCTCCATCACTACGGCTTCAGAGGTGTAGCATACAAATGGATTGAGTCTTACCTAACTGATCGTCATCAAATTGTGAAAACTTCATCTTTTTCAAATATAGCATCGGTGAATTGTGGTGTACCTCAAGGATCGATACTGGGCCCCACTTTATTCTCATTATATATCAACGATCTGCTTAATATTGATATCTCCGGAAAATTTACTGTGTTTGCGGATGACACTACTATTCTATGGCATGAAAATAATGCAGATGCACTAGAAGAAAAAATCCAAGTAGACATTAAAGTATTAAAAAGTTGGTGTGACTCAAATCGTCTTGCTCTAAATGTAACAAAAACCAACATAATATCCTTCAGGTGTGAAATAATCAATATTGAACTAGATAATGGCCTCATTGAAAGCTGCAATAAGACTAAATTTTTAGGGGTTTTTATCGATAATAAATTGAAATTTGAACAACATGTTTTGAACTTGAATAAGAAATTGGCCTCTGGTTGTTTCGCTGTGAGAACAGTAACAAAGGAACTTGGACCCTCAGCTGCAAAATTAGTCTACCATGCATTGATAGAGTCTCACCTGAGATACGGTATTCCTTTCTGGGGAGTATGTAATAATAACCTCATGCTAAGCATACTGGTACTGCAAAAACGCTCGATTAGATATATGTCCAAAGTTAAAATGCGTGTTTCCTGTAAACCGCTGTTTGTATCGCATAAATTACTAACTGTTATTGCAATCTTCATCCTTGAATCAGTATATCTCATCAAAAAACACATCCATAAATTTAATACTACTCCTTCCTATTACTCTACCCGTAAGCATAACAGTATAAACTTACCAATACCAAGTTCTTCTCTAGTAAAGGATTCACTCATTTATAATGGATGCAAGATGTTCAATCATTTGCCCGACTATATAAGAGATATCACCCACATTGACCATTTTAAAAAAGCTGTCCATTTGCTATTATCAGATCGGCCTTACTATAGTTTGGAGGAATTTTATTCTGATCAATTCTAATTATATGTACCCTTTGCTAATGTAAGAGTCTTTTTAATGTCTGTTTTATATTTTTAGTTTTTTATTTACACTTTTAACTCTACATATGTGCTTTGTCCATAAGAATGTATCTTTTCTTCATGACAATAAAGTATATTCTCTCTCTCTCTCTCTCTCATTTCCGAAATTGGGGTATTGAATACAATGAGGTGTTCTATGAGATATAATGAATCACAAGAAAAAATTGTATTAAATTTTCTTTTTAAATGTGCCATCCCACCATTCTGCATCTCTCAACTAGTATTGAACGCCCTGCAACATTGCAAAAAAGTCTTTGATCGTTGGGGTGCTTATGATCTTGCAGAATGTAAACACTTGGGTTGATCTATTAACCTCTGATCAATGATTTACAGTTTTAGACAAACTCTGAAGCTCAATATCTCCCAAAGCACACACAATAAGTTTGAAAACAAAAATCCTGATATCACTTACACCAAATTGTCCAATGATGAAAAAAAAGAAGGGCAAAAGGTCTTAGAAATGTATAGTAGTAGACATGTACAAACTCTGATTTTCATAATATATCTGAGAATATTACTATTAAATACTTTCATACTCACTCAAGGGGTTCAAACTTGAACAATGGTAATATGTTTGTACAGACACAAACCTCTAATCAGATCCCTGATTGGGTTTTCTCAAGTCAGAATTACTTTCCATGACTTGTACAATAGATATCAATTCGTCATACACTAGAGACATTATATCTATTGATAACAAAAAAAAATCCACTTACTTGAACCTGGACGATCAGCCTCTCGGACAACGTGAGTCATACCAGCTTTATAACTAACGAAGGCCGTCAAGTGCACTGGCTTGGAGGGATCATCTTTGGGAAAAGCCTTTACCTTACCACGGTGCCTCTGAGACCTCTTTTTCGGGTAGAATCCCATGGACCCATGACGAGGGGCGCTGAATTTCCTGTGCGACTGAAATATAACACGTGTCAGAGAATGCGGCAAAACAAATTACATCAAAATAGATGCATTTAAACATATCAGACCGCCCTAGAATGCTATCCACATTAGTTGTTCGGTTATCAACCATAAACATATTATCTAAATCATCATGCGAATCTCGTAAAAAAATATCAATTGAGGAAACCTCAAAAAAATATGGACTTGCAAGTGTACATCTTATACTGGAAAATCATAAAATGTACTACTTGAGAAACAATTTTAGAGGATTGAAAAAATATAACAAGAAGTATGTAATAGAATTCGAAAGAACACCTCACCATTTCGAAAGATTGTCACAAATGGACGATTATCTGACGTTTTTTCATGAAGTAAACTCGCTTTCCACCAGAGGGCACAGCAGCAGCAGAAGCAATCATGAAAATCATAGAATCATAGAATTTCAGAACTTTTCTTCAGACGAAAGCCTCCCGACAGTTGTCGCATCATTCTGGCTTCCAACGAAAATTCGATGAACACCGACTCGCGATATATGCGAGATTTTTTTATTTTTTTCGATAAATGAGCCCAAGGTACAATGAGTTTAGCGTCAGCATGCCACGTCTGCAGCCTGGTGCTCAATCCTTGCGAGGGTGATACTTTTATTTTATAATTCCATATCATCTTGTAGGAAGAAGGTTCATTTTTATTTAGACAATGATGGAAGTAAGATATGATGTAATTACTGATGCGCTTTTGTTTCAGAAATTTTACTCGACCTCTCGAGAGCAGCAAGAGCAATGGTTCCGTTGATCTTCTAATAGATGGCGACATTGCACAATTATGACTTCTGTCAGTTTTGAAATTGTCGCAAATTTTTCGAATTCAGAGTTGTTTAATCCCACTATTACATATGTTCCGCGTACCTAAAATGGCATTTGCCTTTTTATTTCCACTCGTCGCAGGAGCAATAGCAGCATTACCATCTAGCGGAAAAATGTAGAATCATCGTCTTGCTCGTTGTGACGTAGAGAAATCATAGTAGGCCGGTCGAGTGATTTTTCTGAAATTTTCAATATGTAATAATGGCCGAATACGCACACCATATCTTACTTCCATCATTATGTAGACCAAGAATCCAGCATACCTACCATGAGAACCCTAGAATGAACTGGTATATAGATGACTCTAGTATATACTGAATAATATCTTCTAGAGATGTCGGGAAATGATGATTGACAGAGCCTTAATGTCTCTCGGCAACTTGCAAGTGCCCCCACAGCCCTCATGTAACCGGTCCCTATGAGTCGAGTTAGGTTAGCAAGTTTAGTGAAAGTATTCTCTTTCGGTTTCTCTACATCTGGGCAGTCTTGAGTAAGATTGATTAGAATAAGTTGTCTCTTCAGTTCTTTCATTTAGGCCGAGTTAGGTTAGATTGCTCAGAAAATTTAGTCTCCTTCTTCTATGTAGGAAATATATCAATACTAAAGAGTAGAAGGGCCAACAAAAATAAAAAAAAAATTGTCCAACAAATAATTTGCAGTATTTGGCAGTTATTCTGAATTCTGCAAGTTACAACTTCAATTCAAAACACTTCAATTTGTAACATTGCAGTTCTGGCAGTAATCCTATTTAGATATATGTATTTTGTCTTGAGATCTTGGGGTCGAAACATTGTAATAACAATAAACAACTAAGAGAATCTGCGCCACCGGTCTGCGCCTACGCTACGTTCCTGCATCAAGTACTATCTTCCTCCACAAAATATCCTGAATCGCTCTCAATTTACATTTTCAATGAGGGCTAATATTTTCACTCTCGCCAGGTTGGCGCAACTAAAACGTGATGTCAATGTCAAAGTCAATAACTCCAAAATTTTGCAGGAGAGTCCCTAAGGCTATGGCCTGTTTTGTCGAAAATACTAGAAAAAGATGATGTACAATATTTGAACAAAAAGAAAGACTCAACAGACTTGAGCAGACTAACGTTTTTTTACTCTCAATGTAGAACTTCACGACCAATTCTTACATTGACGGAGAAGGAGATATTGTAGAGAGGGCCGAGAGGGGCCAAATGACACGAAAAGAGGAAGTACATTTATCAGTTCTATCAACTCTGACCTCAATAGCGCTATTTGGTGGACGTGGACAATAACTAATGTTAGCCCTCATTATCGGCTTCACATTTTCGTCGAAAACATACGTTTTCCATATTGATAGAAACAGGATTCACGCTAGCGAACCCTGCGCTATTCAATTCAATTTTTCACCTACCAATAAAGATTTCAATATAAAATCCGGACTGATCGACTTCCATTGCTAAATAGATATGATTGCCTATCTCCTGTGCTAAAATGTATTTAATTTCATTATATTCTTTCTACTAGCTTCCGATAATAGCACCACGATAAGACTCGAAGATATTTTGAATTCATATGCTCTCGATCAAATAATATCTGAACCTACCCGTTATGGCCCTACCAGTGTCAAGCTCATTGATGTGATAATAACCTCGAAAATGATCCCGGTGGAAAACACAAGTGTAGTTGATGCCTCCATCATTTCTGACCACTGTTTGGTATCCTGCTTGGTAGGTACCGCATAAGCACCGAATGGAGGATTTCTTCATACGTACCGAGACTACAATAATTTGAATTCTACTGATTTCTCTACTGATTTGGAAGACAGATTCTTTTCTAATTTACTCAACTCACGTTATTGACGTCAAATTATTTCTAGTCAATGCAATATTATTCTCGCACTCTTCGACTTCCACGTATCTGGGAGAAGTATCAAGATCACACTTCCTAAGGCTCCATGGATTACTTATGTATTAAAAAAAAATTATGTCAAACAGGACAAAGCACTAGCGAGGTACAAACGAACTAAGTTAGTGAAGCACTGGAACTTTTATGAAGATATAAGGAACGAAACTAGGTTAGGTTTGGTTCCATGTGAGTGGGGCGAATACCGTTCCTCCACTGCGACCCCAGGTGGGTCTATTGTGGTTCACCCCTAGAGGTTACAGTTTACTGTACAATCCGCATCTTCTTACAAAGTCCATGGATGAATAAGGTGAGATTTGTCTGCAATCGATATAGGTTCTGAGTTGGTAAAGCCAAATATGTCAAACCTCAGTCTGTGTAAGCAAGGGAATAAACATAATATGTGTTCAGCCAAACAGAACAGAACGGAGCAGAACGAAACTAAGTATGCGATTATCCACGAAAAGAAAGATAATTTGGAATATAGCATAAGAGCTGATAATAATAATAAAAAATTCTGGCAAGAGTTCAAGGAAGCAGATATTTACTCCAAAAATGCAGCACAAACCATCCCGGATTCCCTTGAGAACGTATATGAAATTAACGACTCTTATGTCAAATCTTCAATAAACAGTAATCTTCCTCCTTACCTTGATACAATAAACTATTTTATGAATAAGACCCTTCCTGATGTGAACAATCTCTCTTTCTCTCCTACTTCTGTTAAAAACATACCTATATAAAATTCTAATAGATATAAAATCGAAGGCCGCTGGAATAGATAAAATTAATATCACCATGCTTTTGCTCTGCTGTCCAACTATCCTACCGGTCGTTCAGAACATCTTCAACTATTGCCTGAGTTGAAACGTGTTTCCATTCTTGTGGAAAAAATCTTTTATATTGGCACTACCCAAAAGCACATAATTCCGAAGAATACCAATGTCTTCGACTTATAAAGCATACTCTGCAGGCTCTCTAAGGCCTTCAAAAACATGATTTTCGTCAGGAGCTGCGTCATTTGGAAGAAAATAGAATAATACCTTGGTGTCACCACAGTATATTATCCTTTACTGTGGTGTCAGTCTGGTTTTAAATCTCAACACAGCTCCGTCCCGGCACTCCCCAAAATTACCGATAACATATTCATTGTTTCGGACAACAAACGTTCGACTGTCCTCATTATGCTCGATTACACAAAAGCCATCGACTGAATTGAACACCAACTATTATTGAATTCTTCATAACATTGGATTGTCTGCATGAGCCGTTTCTTCACTACAAGCTTACTTGTTCAATCGCATGCAAGCAGTACTATTAGATCAGCGCTGCTCTGAGTTTCTTGTTGTGAGAAACGGAGTGCTCCAAGAATCAATTTTAGGTCCCGTTCTTTCTATCTTATATACACAAGAATTGCATATACGCAAGTTCAGTTCAGAAATTGTCACTTTTATGCGGATGATACGCAAATATAAACATGTCATTCCCCAAAAACGAGTTATTGGAAGCGAACATTAGGCTCAATTCGGACCTTGAGGCCATAATATCGATATCAGAAAAATATTGTCTTTCCATCAACCCTACGAAATCGTTTGTCTAGATATTTAGTAAGAAAAAAGCACGTGCCCGTTGCTAGAATTCTTTCATTATCAATATCAAGGATCGTATAGTTCCTCTATCTGAAAGTTCAAAGAACCTAGATTCGTCTCTCAAATTCACCAGACATGTCAGGTGCGCTTTTTGTAATTTGAAATTGATTTATGAAGGAAAGTCTTAGATAAACGTAGTAAAATAACTCTATGTGAGTCGATACGATTCAAAACTTTACTCACTCCACCCCTGCATAATAAAATGCAATACCAATCGTCTTTCTCATTCACGATAACGCGGCTATATAACAGGCTTCACGATGAACTTAAGAAAACTGGTTATACGTATAATTTCAAACATAAGCTGAAGAAATTACTCCTATCAGGCGATCTCCGCTTCTAAGCTTTCTCATAAATATTTTGTATTCCTTTTATTCACCGTTCCTCCATAATATACGTATTATGTTCTCGTTCAGGATCCAGTTCTTTTTGCTAAATCTCAATATAAGAATAAAACCACATAAACTGCTGTCATTACCTGGCGGAATGAAGCTAGCACCCCTCTACAGTCCTGTCGCGAACGTCGATCGTTTCTCATGCACGGGACGACAGATTAGAAGTTCAGACGCAGATTCTCTTCGTTTTGTGGTTTTGTGTTTGAAGATGAAGTCAAAAGTGTTGTATGAAAAAATTTGAAATTTAAAATTCCTTTTTAATCTATTTTTTCTGTTTCTTTACATTAAACATTAAACTCCACAAGCTGGGCAGATAATATGTGAATAAGGATATTTGTACAGTGTGAGACCAAGTGTGTAGACAACTTGACTGAATAAAAAGTGAACCCATATCTTCCACATTCCTTCATACGCATATATTTCTTCTGCTTAAAACTTTTGTTCAGTTCCTTCCGCCATCTTTGGTATTTTAAGTAATAAGTTTCAGTCCATATTTTGAGAGGAAATTCTTGCATTAACATTCTATTTATGACGCTATTTTTGTTTTGAATATTCATATTTTGCCTTTAACTTTTTTCAATTCCTTTCAGATTAGTGTTCCCAATACAACTCGAATACTATCATCACTTCATCAGAAAGTGGCTGTGTAGCCATATTTTAGATTCAGGATCAGGAATAATGTCTTGCAAACAGCAGAATCAGCTGGAGTTGGTAAGCATTTATAATAATTTATCCGCTGATGTCAAAAACCTATTCAGGATTATAGTTGCATATGACACCATATACAGTGTGTCCCACTTACGACCATGCTCACCATGGGTATCTTTTTAACGGTGAGAGATACGAAGTCGGTTAAATGACACCAAATGTGGAGTTTGTCAAGGCCAACTATATAATGTGAAAAAATATTTTGATAAAATCTATTCGTTTTTGTTTCATACGCAAAAAACAGATTTTGATCATTTTCATGTCTCCTCCGTAACTTCTTTATTTATGAAAATATTCAAATAGGAATTTCACATTCTCATGGCAGTTTTTCAAAGTGATTTCGAAAAAAATATGATATATTTATACCAACTCTTCTAGAATTTGAGATAGCAGCACCAACTTTAGTTTTTCAAATGTAGCTCATAGCTCCTCACTCACTATGACTTAGTTACAAATAACTTTTTTTTCTCTTACAGATGATATGTCGCAGTTATAGTTTTGTGTTGATAACAACGACGGAGTTATCGTCATCTTGAATTTATAAATTTTAACAAAAATATCATGATCTCCGACCTCAAAAACCCTCACTTACCAATTTTGAATGAAATCGGACCAAATCTTGTCCGCCATCTTGGAGCAGCCATTTTTTTTATTTCAACAAAAATTCCCTCGAAAATTCCATAATGTATTGTCACCGAAATTATGAAAACCTGCCAAATTTCGAGTTAATCGGAGTTATGGAATTTTTGTTGAAATAAAAAAAATGGCTGCTCCAAGATGGCGGACAAGATTTGGTCCGATTCCATTCAAAATTGGTAAGTGGGGGTTTTTGAGGTCGGAGATCATGATATTTTCGTTAAAATTTATAAATTCAAGATGGCGGCTTCCAAATAATTGTTTGTTTTTGTATAAATGACGATAACTCCGTTGTTACCAACACAAAACTATTACTGCGACATATCATCTGTGAGAGAAAAAAAAGTTATTTGTAACTAAGTCATAGTGAGCTATGACCCACATTTGAAAAACTGAAGTTGGTGCTGCTATCTCAAATTCTAGAAGAGTTGGTATAAATTTCATATTTTTTTCGAAATCACTTTGAAAAACTGCCATGAGAATGTGAAATTCGTATTTGAATATTTTCATAAATAAAGAAGTTATGGAGGAGACATGAAAATGATGAAAATCTGTTTTTTGCGTATAAAACAAAAACGAATAGATTTTATCAAAATATTTTTTCACATTATAGTTGGCCTTGACAAACTCCACATTTGGTGTCATTTAACCGACTTCGTATCTCTCACCGTTAAAAAGATACCCATGATGAGCATGGTAAGTGGGACACACTGTATATATATGGGAAGAATTATCTTTCAATAATAAATATTGATTTTTAAATTCGACTTGGACGTTGAGTTTTGCTTAAAAAAAAAAGAAAAATGGCCTACTCGGCCAACCAGGGTCACGTGTGACTTTCAGTACATGTCAAATGTTATATTATTCAAAATATAATAATCGCTGAAATAGTTATATTTACCTAACAGGTGCAGAAAAATAAAAATCGTGCGGAAAATAAAATCGTACGGAAAAGTATAACTTCCAAAACAGAAAACCGTGCGGAAAAGTTACTTTTCCACACGCTCGTAGGAAAATATAGTCTTAATATTCGTTCGAATTTCAAAAACATTTACTAGGAATAGTTATATTTTCCTAACAAGTGCGGAAAGTAGTACTTTCCCACAAGAGTTTATAGGTACAATGATTTTTCTACGAGTGTTCTTGTCCATATTATTTATGAACAAAAAAAGATTTGTGATAAACAATATTTTATAATACTGCTACAAAATGACACAAAACACACAGAATAGTTACATACATCATTCAGTTGCTTCAAAAATATCCACATTTTCAACAATACAAAAATCGTGCGAGAAAGTTACTTTTCCGCACGCTCGTAGGAAAATATATAGTCTAAATATTCGTTCGAATTTCGAAATCATTTACGAGGAATAGTTATACAGGCTGATTCACGGTGGATGGCACATTAGACGTTTCTGGAGAATGCAACTCAGGATTATTCTGAAAAGTTGATGCCTTGGATAATTAGTTGTGTTCTATCGACCTAAAATATTCTCAGTGTTGCGACGTTGCCGCTTATATTGAAAAGTAGCAACAACTTTGATTTTTCAAATGGGACACCCTGTATATTATTCCATTTTCAGATTCTCCCAGAAAATCTGATTCAATTGACCTATAATACTTGTGGTCTAGCTGTAATAAATACAGAGTTATCGGATGTGAAAAATCGAGATTTTTCAACTTTAGGAATTTTTCGTGTCGATATTATTCATAATTGGTCAAAACGGATTGCATGTCCCTATCTCAACATTTTATTCACTATCAATTGATATTTAATTGAGATAAATACAGGGTGGTTCAGAATTAAGATTTTTGACCACCCTGTATCTATTTCAATTAAATATCAATTGATAGTACGTAAAAAGTTAAGATAGGGACATGGAAACCGTTTTGACCAATGATGAATAGTTTCGACACAAAAAATTCCTAATGTTGAAAAATCTCGATTTTTCACACCCTATATCTTTGTTATCATTTCCGCTAGACCCCAAGTATGATAGATCGATGAAATCAGCTCTCCAGGGAGAATCTGAAAATGGAATAATATACAGGGTGTCCAATTTGAAAAATCAAAGTTGTTGCTACTTTTCAATATAAGCGGCAACGTCGCAACACTGAGAATATTTTAGGTCGATAGAACACAAATAATTATCCAATGCATGAACTTTTCAGGATAATCCTTAGTTGCATTCTCCAGAAATGTCTAATGTGCCATCCACCGTGAATCACCCTGTATATTTACCTAACAAGTGCGGAAAGTAGTACTTTGCCGCAAGGGTTAGGGACAATGTTTTTTCTACGAGTGTTTTTGTCCATATTATTGATGAAAAAAAAATTTCTTATAAACAGTATTTTATAATATTGCTACAAAATGACACAAATCACACAGAATAGTTACATAGATTATTCAGTTGCTCCAAGAATATCCACATTTTCAACAATACAAAAATCGTGCAAAAAAGTAACTTTTCCGCACGCTCGTAGGAAAATATAGTCTTAATATTCGTTTGAATTTCAAAAACATTCACGAGGAATAGTTATATTTACCTAACAAGTGCGGAAAGTAGTACTTTCCCGCAAGAGTTAGATACAATGTTTTTTCTACGAGTGTTTTCGTCCATACTATTTATGAAAAAAAAGATTTTCAATAAACAAGATTTTATAATATTGCTACAAAATGACACATAACACACATAATAGTTACGTAAATCATTCAGTTACTCCAAAATAACCGCATTTTCAACAATACAAAAATCGTGCGAAAAAAGTAACTTTTCAGCGCTAGTGCGGTAAAAGTAACTTTTCTGCACGGTTTTATCAATTATTCATTGTGCGAAAATGTAAAAATCACGCGGAAAAGTAAAAATTGTGCGGAAAAGTAAAAACTGTGCGGAAAACTAAAATCGTACGGAAAAATACACCTTTCAAAACGAAATATCGTGCGGAAAAGTTGCTTCACATGCTCGTAGAAGAAGTTGTTTCATTCCGGTTTCACATGATTTGTCTGGAATTCGAACTTTTTATTGCAAATGTTAGATTTCCATTTTTTTTTTCAAATTCCAAGTACGATATTTCTGTAATATCCAGAAAATTGTAACTTCGACAAAAGTATGACTCATACTGACTCTCGATTATTATATTTATTATACAGGGGGTGTCCTAGAAGGTCTTTACATAAACTCACTATATTATACTCCTTATATTTAAACAATTCGATGCAAGCAAACTTTCCTCAGTTCAAAGTCGCTCAGTTTGCGCGCTATAGATGTCTCTGAAGTTTTCTGATTTCTGACTCGCAAATTTTGCTTCTGCTCGGCTTCGCTGAACGCTCCGCCTCGCAAATGCAAAATTCGCTTGTCAAACAAAGTGTCACTTTTGATCCTAATAAAACAATCTACTATTTTCTACAACTGCTACGTAGCTACTATACAGGGTAACTTACGTTTGACGTTTACGGAGAACGGGACATAGGATCATTCTGAAATTTTGGTTACTCACGTAGTTGCTTTTGGTCTATCGATCTGAAATATTTTCATCTCTGCGGCGTTGCCGCTTCTGTCGAAAAGTAGCAACAACTTTGTTATTTTGAATAGAACACCCTGTATTTTATTGCATTTTCAGATTTTCTCTAAAGAGCTGATTTCATTGATGCATCACACTTGGGGTCTAGCGGAAATGATTACAGAGATATAGGGTGTGGAAAATCGACATTTTTCAACTTTAGGAATTTTTTTTGTCGAAACTATTCATTCTTGGTCAAAACGGCTCACATGTCCCTACCTCAACTTTTGGTCAACTATCTACTGACATTTAGTTGAAACAAATACAGTGTGGTGCAGAATTCAGAATCTTGATCACCCGGTATATGTCCCAATTAAATATCAGTAGATAGTCAATCAAAAGTTGAGATAGGGACATGTGAGCCGTTTTGACCAATAATGAATAGTTTCGCCAAAAAAAATTCCTAAAGTTGAAAAATGTCGATTTTTCACACCCTATATCTCTGTAATCATTTCCGCTAGACCCCAAGTGTGATACATCGATGAAATCAGCTCTTCAGAGAGAATCTGAAAATGCAATAAAATACAGGGTGTTCCATTTAAAATAACAAAGTTGTTGCTACTTTCCGATAGAAGCGGCAACGCCGCAAAGCTGAAAATATTTTAGATCGATAGACCAAGAGCAACTACGTGAGTAATCAAAATTCCAGAATGATCCTATGTCCCGTTCTCCATAAACGTCTAACGTACCATCGACCGTGAGTTACCCTGTATAGAGTCGTATTTCTCGTAGCTTACTTTAGTTTCAATACCATGTATTGCTCATACTCTCTGGTCACAAAGTCATAATGTTGCGAAGAGCCACATCATAAAATGAATACCAATAAGTTACATAATATATTAGTTGTATTCTTTGAATTTGAGAAGTTGTCGACATGTGGGGAAAAGTACGTAAGTTTCGAGCTCTTTGACTCTCATCAGTGCAGAGCAGTCTCCAGCCAGCAGTCCTTAGAACGCCGACTAAGCGTAGCCTAGCCAAACAAAAATCAAGTCGGCATTATATTCCATCAGAGCGAGTGGAAATGACTACAAGATTTTTGTATTTATACTATTTTCTTCATATTTATTTATCGGACCTAAACTATACAGTCTGTCCCACTTTGATGAATGAAATACAGATTTGGTGAGTACTAAAAGAGAATCAATTAATGTAATCTAATGTATTGTAGATGATAGTTGAATTTATTTGGACGAAGTTTTTAATTTGTTTTTTGTATTTATTGAAATTTGTTATTGTTTTCATTTCGGGGGGTAGGAGATTATACAGTGTGTCCCACTTACTATGCTCATCATGGGTATCTTTTTAACGGTGAGAGATACGAGGTCGGTTAAATGACACCAAATGTGGAGTTTGTCAAGGCCAACTATTATGTGAAAAAATATTTTGATAAAATCTATTCGTTTTTGTTTTATACGCAAAAAACAGATTTTGATCATTTTCATGTCTCCTCCGTAACTTCTTTATTTATGAAAATATTCAAATAGGAATTTCACATTCTCATGGCAGTTTTTAAAAGTGATTTCGAAAAAAATATGAAATTTATACCAACTCTTCTAGAATTTGAGATATCAGCACCAACTTTAGTTTTTCAAATGTAGGTCATAGCTCACTATGACTTAGTTACAAATAACTTTTTTTTCTCTTACAGATGATAAATCGCAGTAGGTAATAGTTTTGTGTTGATAACAACGGAGTTATCGTCATTTATACAGAAACAAAAAATTATTCGGAAGCCGCCATCTTGAATTTATGAACTTTAACAAAAAAATCATGATCTCCGACCTCGAAAACCCCTACTCACCAATTTCGAATGGAATCGGACCAAATCTTGTCCGCCATCTTGGAGCAGCCATATTTTTTAATTTCAACAGAAATTACATAATGTATTGTCACCGAAATTATGAACAACTGACAAATTTCAAGTCAATCGGAATTATGAAATTGTTTTTGAAATTGAAAAGAATGGCTGCTCCAAGATGGCGGACAAGATTTGGTCCGATTCTTTTCAAAATTGGTGAGTGAGGGTTTTTGAGGTCGGAGATCATGATTTTCTCGCTGAAATTCATAAATTCAAGATGGCGGCTTCCGAATAATTTTTTGTTTTTGTATAAATGACGATAACTCCGTTGTTATCAACACAAAACTATTACCTACTGCGATTTATCATCTGTAAGAGAAAAAAAAGTTATTTGTAACTAAGTCATAGTGAGCTATGACCTACATTTGAAAAACTAAAGTTGGTACTGGTATCTCAAATTCTAGAAGAGTTGGTATGAATTTCATATTTTTCTCGAAATCACTTTGAAAAACTGCCATAAGAATGTGAAATTCCTATTAGAATATTTTCATAAATAAAGAAGTTACGGAGGAGACATGAAGATGACCAAAATCTGTTTTTTGCGTATAAAACAAAAACGAATAGATTTTATCAAAATATTTTTTCACATAATAGTTGGCCTTGACAAACTCCACATTTGGTGTCATTTAACCGACCTCGTATCTCTCACCGTTAAAAAGATACCCATGATGAGCATAGTAAGTGGGACACACTGTATAATCTCCTACCCCCCGAAATGAAAACAATAACAAATTTCAATAAATACAAAAAACAAATTAAAAACTTCGTCCAAATAAATTCAACTATCATCTACAATACATTAGATTACATTAATTGATTCTCTTTTAGTACTCACCAAATCTGTATTTCATTCATCAAAGTTCTAAGCAAATAACCTAATATATTCGCTAATTATACTACAATCGCCAAATATGAAAGTTGTACACTTAGAATGCTCTTTACAGATTAAAGACTAGTACAACACAAGCATGCAGCATGCTTAGGTGCAGTCTTATGATCCAAAAGGAACACCAAAATTTGTTATATGTTATCAATATTATCTGTACACTTTATTTTCTGAATAAATTGAAATTGAAATTGAAAAAATTGAAATTGAAATTCAACAGAAGAAAGTTGGTACCGACTTCTGGCACACCAGGTATAGCTGTAGGACTAAAATAATTTCAGGTTACTTGGAAATGATCGAATATAACTACCTACCAATTTTCAAGGTCATAATCCAACTGAAAGATCTCGCAAACGAAGCCTTCTACGACTTTTGTTAATGGTAACTTTTTATTTTCTTGAGACGCCCTATATCAGCCCTCGAAGTGCGTCCTACATATTAGGAAACACCCTGTATGTCTAAACTGTGGTTTAGATGGAACAGCCTGTATATTAATTAGTGAACACGTAACAAGAAATATTTGAAATACAGCTGTGTTGAAGCTGCTGCAGGTTTTGGTCAGCTGGGATCCTTTTCACAGACACCCTGTATATTTCATGTCGACCCACAATTCTTATGATCAAGAAATTTCAGAGTATTACAGGGGAAGCAGTCAGAAATGCAGTGAAGTCTTTCACCCTATCGAAGCGATACACACAGATCATGGTCAGAGCTTCTATATTGAACATTCTGTATCGCAGGATATCTGTTACCGATTCTTGTTTGAGAATCAAAAAGTACGATAATATTCCCTATGTTGTCTTCAAGAGTTTGAAAAATATAGAAGATCCCTTGCTCACTTTGTATCTGTCATGGATAGGTGGCATAAAAGATGCGATAGATAAGAATTACGTAAGTATATAAGTACCTGGAAGTATCTGGATACAGGTACCTTATACAGGGTGTTTCATGAGAAGACTCACATAGCCAAATGGTTAATAAGGGAAATCAAGACGAGTTGATGTATATACATGAAAACATTCTTTGACCCTCCATAACGAAGATACAGGGTATTATGTGAAATTGTTATATAACTTTGATGGCCGATATTACAGAAATGATTCATCGTAATCTGCTGAAATTTGGCAGCGACGTATCTCTACTGAAACTATTGCAGATTACATATTATGAAAGGAAATATCCAGGACCGGACTTGGGAAAATTTCATGATTCATTGTTATGTCAAAACAGTTCACTTTGTGACCACTTTCTTCGAAAAATTCCATCAGATTCAGAAAGATCAGACAAAATGCTATAAGAACTGCTCTTCAATTTACACGGCACTTAGACCTTTAGAACTTTCAACTGGATTCGTGTAGATTGATTTTTTTGTTCATTTTTATTGGATAGGAATTGACAGAACAGAGAAGTTCTGATTTTTTTATGATCTGACATGTTAGTTTTTGACCGAACTTCTAGATAGATATGATTACTCGTGACTCTATATTATTTTGTTATAAAGTGGGCACTGTTTTTATTTTATGTAACGTGGTGTTTATTGATAGGTAAACACTGGTAATCAAAATATTCTTGCACCTAGGTGCCACTTCATATTTTAAATGCTGAACAAGACGAAACCCCAATGGCTGGTGCTATGTTTATTATCATAGAATATTTCCAGACCCAAGAATACGTTGCAGTAAAACCTTCACGAGGATGAACATTAGGAATTTTGAATAAATAGCAAATGCATCCTCTTATCATCACTTGCAGAAGTGTATCAATAACAAAAATGGAGCTGAGTTTATGCGTGATGGCATAACTGATTTGATAAATCACCATAATATGGGCACATGGATCCTCATGTCGTAATTTCATCAGTTGGTACCTAACTAGTACTCTAGGTACCTATCAGTTCGGATTATCAAGAAACGTCACGCCCCGTCACACAAATGGAAAACAGGGCCTACTAGATATCTCATCATTACTTCAATTGAAACCCATAAAACAGAGTCAGGAATAATAAAATCTATCTGGAATTTCGATAAAAAAATATCGTGTTTTTTCTTCTCGTATATTCTTCTGTCAATTATTATTCAACAAAAATGTACAAGAAATCATTTCACATGATACCAGTTGAAAGTTGACAGTTATCAGCCAGGTCGAAATTCAAAATTCATAGGTACGATTTTGTTCCATATTTTTGTATTGAACCGGTCAAAGTGTGTCGTGTAAATTGAAGGGCAGTTCTTATAGCATTTTGTCTGATCTTCCTGAATATGATAGAATTTTTCGAGAAAAGTGGTCACAACCTGAACTTTTTTGACATAACAATGAAACATGAAATTTTTCCAAGTCCGCACCTGGATATTTTTTTTCATAATATGTTAGCTTGAATAGTTTCAGTAGACATACGTCGCTGACAAATTTCAGCAGATTACGATGAATCATTTCTGTAATATCGGCCATCAAAGTTATATAATAATTTCACATAATACCCTGTACTTTGTTATGAAGGGTCAAAAAATTTTTTCATATATATACATCAACTCGTCTTGATTTCCCCTATTAACCATTTGGCTATGTGAGTCTTCTCATGAAACACCCTGTAGATAGCAATCGATAGGCACGAACACACATGAGTGTATTCAATATAAATGTTCATATAAATTATAAAAAGTTGTAACATAACATACAACATGAATGAATCAATTTTTTTATAAAATATGCTGAGATTAATAGGTAAACTATTTCTAATACCAATTGGACCAGCATAAAAACATGGAGGCGGCAATTCTCTATGAATTTGCCGCCCTGTCATATAGGCATATTTCATGTAAAACGATGTTGAGGAATATTTAGAAATGAGTACATTGTACATTTTATAATTCAAAATAATGAGGTATGTAGTAAATGTATTCAATGAATTCGATTCGATATTTCTTCGAATATTTCGGATAAATACTTCGAGAATTTGCAAGATACACAAGGATGCGTCTCATTTAAAATGAAAAATGAACCATAAATATTTAGGCTGATCCTGAAATGCGTATCACAACCAGAGAGATGTCAATTATATCTTGTTATATCGGAAGCTTTTGCAAATTCCTCCATATATTCTCTACTACTGATGCACTCATTCTTGGTGATGGTTGTATTTCTGTAGATTTCCTTTCACTGTATAGATCAAACTGCGTGTCTATTCATCGGGGCGCCCCGTCGTATAGGCAATTTTGCTATCCATCGGGACTAGCGTCTAGCGCAAGGAGCTATTCCTATAAACACCGTAGTGGGAGAACCGCGCCAAGCGAGACGCGGACGCGGACAAACATCACCTATGCCTTCACCTATCGACATGCCCGACGAACGTTGGAGACAAGGAGCGAAACAATAATGTAATATTATTATTGGTAGGGTAGGTAAACAACCAATACCCTTAATTGGCGCCGAATTATGTAATGTACAGGGTGAGTCAATATAGTGCGTTCTCCTTCGATATTAGCCAAACTGTCAGATATATACATATTTGAAAAAATTCGAATACAGAATAGTAATAGTGTTTTATGATAACTTTCATCTTGAAATATTTTCATATCTATACCGGGTAACACAAACTCATGGTATACGTACCACCTTTTTCTCCTTTTGTTTTCTAGCTATATTTCTGAAATTTGGAACATTGAATATGCTCAATAGAGGGCTTTATCTCACATTTTAGGAAATTTTTTTCATCTTTCAATTCGCCTGGAAATGAGATCAACTTTCGATTTTTGAATGGAACACCCTGTATTCCATTCCATAATCGGATAGAGATTGTTATAACGAATTCAACAATACCGGGTTTGATTGGGTTATTTCAAACAATCACGGAGTTATTTACGTTTGAAGTTTCCATAAGAGCAATGCATGGGTGTGACGGCGCAATATGGAAACTTCTGTCTGTCACACTCATTGAGCTTATGGGAATTTCGAATGCGAATATTTTCGTAATCGTTCGAAATAACCCAATCTTACCCGGTATTGTTGAATTAGTTATAATAATCGCTAACCGAATATGAAATGAAAAACAGGGTGTTCCATTTGAAAATCGAAAGTTGATCCAATTTCCAGGAGAACTGAAAGATGAAAAAAATTTCCTAAAATGTGAGATAAAGCCCTCTAGTGAGCATATTCGATGTTCCAAATTTCAGAAATATAGACAGAAAACCAAAGGAGAAAAGGTTGGTATACCATGTATCTGTGTCACGCGGTATAGGGTGTTCGAATTCCAAGATATTGGCTGATGATGTTTTTTTTTTAATGGGACACCCTGTATATTATTGCATTTTTAGGTTCTCCCTGGAGAGACGATTTCATCAATGCATCACACTTGGAGACTAGCGGCATAGATTAAAAGGGAATGATTACAGATATATGAATAGGGGTGTTCAAAAACGAGATTTTCAAATTTTATGATTTTTTTAGGTCGAAAATATTCATTATTGGTTAAAACGGCTTACATATGTTCCTATCTCAACTCTCGATTTCCTATATCTATCTATACTGACATTAAATTGAAAGAGATACATCATGGTATGATCCGAATCTCGAACCAACTGTATTTGTTGCAATTAAATGTTAGTAGATAGAAAATCAAAAGTTAAGATAAGGACATGTAAGCCGTTTTGATCAATAATAAATAGTTTCGACAAAAAAAACAAAGTTGAAAAATCCCGATTTTGAACACCCTATTTATCTGTAATCATGTCCGCTAGACCCCAAGGTCCCCAAGTGTAATGTATCGATGAAATCAGCTCTTTAGGGAGAATCTAAAAATGCAATAATGTACAGGGTGTCCTATTGAAAAAACCTCTTTCAGTTCTCTATAAACATCTCATAATTTGTTAGGTGAATGATCCTGCATATATGAGTATGTTCAAAATCACATTATCCACCGCCTCCTTCCAGATATACGTCGGTGAATCGAACACCTTGTATATTTTGCAACTATTTTTGATTAAATTTTCGTGTTTTTATTTTTCAAATATTCATAATATACAGGGTGTTATTTAAGTACGTGGCCAAACTTGAAGGGGTGATTCTTTGAGTGATTTTCAGACGAAAAGTTCATATAAACATAGGTCCGGTAATGCTTCGTTTTCAAGATACAGGGTGTCAAAATTTTTAAAAGAAATCGTTTTTTTCGTAAATATCTTAATAACCCTTCGACCGATTCCATTGAAATTTGGCAGTGTTATTCAAGGTCGTGAAGGGCTAATTTAACCCTAACTATATCAAAATTATCATGTCCAGTGGCGTCCCGGAAGGCACTGTAACCAATATTTTTGACACAAAAAATGTGCGCCACTGATTTTTTTGCAATTTTTGTATTTGTTTCACATTGAGCAACTAAAATTACAACTTTTTTATATCTAGATTTTTTTTCGTATCTTGCTTTGTTTTTGAGAAAAAACATAAAAATCACTTCATTGCACATCCCTGTGACAACACAATAAAACATTTCAACTACTAAACCATCAAAAACTGGGGTTTTACTAATATTTTTGATATAGTTAGGGTTAAATTAGCCCTTTACGACCTTGAATAACACTGCCAAATTTCAATAAAATCGGTTGAAGGGTTATTAAGATATTCACGAAAAAAACGATTTCTTTTAAAAATTTTGACACCCTGTATCTTGAAAACGAAGCATTACCAGACCTATGCTTATATGAACTTTTCGTCTTAGAATCACCCAAAGAATGACCCCTTCAAGTTTGGCCACGTACTTAAATAACACCCTGTATGTACATGTAGCTATTCTGTATATTTTTTTTACCGTTTTCGGAGATATATATGAGGTATATATATGTATATATATAGAACTTCACATTTTCTCCAGATACTCTCTGCGATGACCACGTCATTCTGAC